TTGTCTACTGAGGAATCTTTTGACTCTGCAGTGAGGAAAAATGTTCATTATATTGAATTATTAAAGTCAGGAAAGCTAAAGGAAAGTAATGCCAAAGCCTATTTTAAAAGGTACAATTGGTATAATAGAGGATATGCGTGTGTGCTAAGTATATTCATTGCAAAATAAATGTATTTATTGCATACCATAATAACTTTCAAGAAAAAAATTAATTCGTTAGACGTCAATTTTCCATTGGCAGCAATGGGGAAATGATAGAAAGGCTTGGTATCAGGAAACTGCTCTGTATGTCTTACTGGAAATTTTTCAGGTGACTACTAGATCCCATTAGATCTTCTGGATGCTTTCTAAGCTTCTAAAAAGGCCTCAAGAAGGTAGCAATGCAAGAAAATGTGTTTTCCCATTGAACTCTTAATAAACTTGACATCCAACATAGTGGCTAATTTACTGTGTGGGTTGGATATGCTGTACTTAAAAGTTATGAATATACTTAGCACGTATATCCTCTATACTATAACCATCGCATTATGATGATTTTAATCATTTTTAGTGCAATAGATGATAACTTCCCCACTGGTGTTCATGAGTTAATGTTTGTACCAACAATTGAAGTAAGCAACATACATCATAATGAAAGAAAAAGTTCACTAATTAAATTCATAGTTTCATGTGCTGAGTAGTAGTGTATAATAAATGCATTTGTCACATAATAGGGTCAAGGCAATGAAGAACAAAAAAAGAAATGGTTAAAAATATCTCGTAATTTTGATATCATAGGATGTTATGCGCAAACTGAACTTGGACATGGTATAATCAATAATTGTGTTTTTTGCTTTTTAATTTGTTATTTCAGGAACCTTTATTAGAGGTCTTGAAACTATAGCAACTTATGACCCCTCAACTGAGGAATTTGTTATGAATTCCCCAACACTAACTTCAATGAAATGGTGGCCTGGATCAGGTACAAGTATCTCGTTAAATTTTACATGATGGATACATGCATTTTAGTTGGTCACACTGCCACACATGCTATTGTTGTTGCAAGATTAATAACTAAAGGAAAAGATGAGGGAATCCATTTATTTATTGTGCAAATTAGAAGCCTTGAGGACCACAACCCATTACCAGGTATTGACTATTACCTACTTGTAACATTTCATCATTATAATTACATATAGGAATAAAGGTGGGTGACATTGGACCAAAGTTTGGATACTTTGGTACAGACAATGGTTTCCTCCACATGACAAATGTGAGGATACCAAGAGATCACATGCTAATGAAATATGCTCAGGTATGAACTATAGAAAAAGACATTGAGAGTGGAAGATGATTCATGTAGGTATCACGAGATGGTACATACTCAAAGCCTCCAGCTGAAGCTGATAAAATTTCATATGCTGTTATGGTGTATGTAAGGGCACTTATTGTTGATCATTCAGCAGAAACTCTGGCTAGAGCTATTACCATAGCAATAAGATACAGTGTTGTGAGGAGACAAACACAAAATAGACCTGGGTAAGATCTTAAATGTATGATAGCCTTAGTAACTAGGGAAGACACCTTGGCCCAATGTTATAAGGTTTAAGGTGGGTTGACAATTACACAAGGCTTGACATTACGTTGACACTGACGTTGAATACCCATGAATAATTCTGTTTGATGTTATCCACTATATTAAAAGTGTAATTATTATTGTTTAAGTATAATCTATAATTTAGTGAACCAGAGACGCAAGTATTGGATTATCAAACTCAACAGTTTAAACTGTTTCCTTTATTGGCCTCTGCTTATGCTATAAAGTTTGCTGGTCATTACATGACGAAACTTTACACTGAAGTGACTGAAGAAATTAGTGAAGGGAAATTAAGATCTCTCCCCGAGGTACAGTATATATTATTAATGTATTCAATTTTTATTAATGCCCTCTCTCTAGCTTCATGCTACTAGTGCTGGTTTGAAAGCATTTTGCACTGAACTATGTTGCAGTGGTATTGAGGTACTATATTCACAGTTTTCCCACAAAGCATGCTAAATGAGCTAAACAGCTTGCTTCATGAGCTGACAGGCACTATAATACACATGTACATGTATTATGGCTTTGGAGCAACTTTGAAAATTCACAAAAATCCAATTCTGATTGGAATCAGCTCAAACTTGCTATATTAACATGAGAACATGTATATGTATCACAAAAAATTATAAAAATTAAGAATTCCCTCCTAGTTATTGAAATTTGGCCAATAACCCTGTACTATATTACAGAGACTTTGGCCCAATTTTTCAGTAACTTTTAGAAATTAATTTTTAGCAGAATCAAATTTCCATACATCATAGTGATTATTGAAAAATACACTTTGTAGTACTTTGTATATGGTATTGTGAGCAACTTTAAAATCCACTGACAAGACAATTTGCCAAAATTATGTGACTATAATTGTGTAGTTATACATGTACTTCATCATGATGGTTTTTTTCTCATAGTTGTGCAGATTAAGTTGTGGTGGTCATGGCTACTCAGCTGCCAGTGGTCTACCTCAACTTTATGCTGATTATTCTTCTTCTCAAACATATGAAGGAGAGAATACAGTTATGCTACTGCAAACAGCAAGGTGATTATCATTACTATTTTTCATTTATTTGCAGTCCTTTTTAAAGATATATTTTTAAAGTATGCAAGCAAAATATGCCACAGGCTCAGTTACCTAGTAATGTGGCATATCTTGCAGCTGATTACCCAAAGTATAAGGAGAGTCCAGTTTCAGATCCAAAGCACTTCAATGATCCTCATATATTACTGGAGGCATATCGTCAAAGGGTAATAAGGTAAGAGAGAGGAAAAGATAGAGTGTGAAGCAAACTAATTCTAATTTTTACTGTTTAGATTAGTTGCTGTAGCATTGGAACGATATAGCAAAAGCATTGCCACTGGATTGGACAGTGTAGCTGCTTGGAACAACTCTTCAGTGGACTGGACTATGGCTGCAAGAGTAAGATATCATATGTGATAGTAACATGATAGTCTCATGACACTATGTGTGTATAGGCTCACTGTCATTATCTTGTTTTGAAAGCTTTCCATTCAAGTATAGATGCAGCTAAAGTGTGTGAAGCTAATTTTAATATAATGAGAGTTTTGTGTTGCTTGTTTGGACTTCATGGTATAATACAGTACAGTGGAGAATTCTGCTTGGTAAATGATATAAATTATACTGTGATCATTGTAAATGAATTGTTATTTTAGGATGGTTATATGAATAGTGAACAGATTGAAATGGCTAAAAATCAACTTTATTTTCTACTAAAGGAAGTCAGGTAAATTACACGTATATTAATGCATGCTTTCAACTACATGCATCACAATGCTCTCTAC